ATAAAAAATAGAAGAAAAAACTCTCAATTCCCAAAACAACAATTTTTGTCGTGTATGCATTCTTACCCATGCAATAAGAAATGAGAATGTTTATTAATTATGTTTAAATTAATACATACAAGATTGATGTAAATACAGCACGTACTTCATATTGTTTTTTTTTTTTTTTTCGTTTTGCATACATAACAATGGAGAAAGAAATAATATTATACAAGGAAATGTACAAATTCTCTGTAATGATGCGTTTTACAGGCATATTTTATACAATATTTCTAAAAAGTCGATCGATCATCTTGCTATTACATATACACATCTTATTCTTAATTCTTAATCTCATCATATCTATCGGAAAAGAAGAGGAACTGCAAGAGATCTTAGATAAACTAATTTTAACTACGTATAAGTTCTAATTTCGCTTAAACAAAGAAAGAAGGCAAGAAAATAAAAAAAAAAAAAATAAAAAAAGAACATTAAAAAAAGAAAAGAAAAAAGAAAGAAACGAACAAAAACAAAAGAACAGTATAGTACGAGAATATAAAGAAAAAGATACGAATGTAATAACAAATATATCCGATCGATATACATACATACAGTCATACAGTCATACATACATTCATACATTCATACATTCATACATTCATACATACATACATACATACATACATACATACATACATACATACATACATCATACATACATACATACATACATATTTTTTATAGTCTCGTCGAATCGAAATTAATCAAAAAATATATTTACAACAGATTTTATATATATATATATATATATATATATATATATATGTATATATGTATATATATATATAAATAATTTTCAAGGAAAATACACGAAAGGATATTTAACAATTGAATTGAAAAAGTAAAACTAAGAGGAGTTTATGCTTTTGATCGATTGTGCATGTACACTGTACAATGAGAGAGAGGAAGGTGGAGGGGGAAAAGTTTAAGAAATAGAGGAGAGATTAAGGGTTGTTAGGAGGAGAGTAGGGGGATGGATGTGGGATGAAATCGACGTAAACGTGACAAATTGCTCATAACGATACTCTTCCATCTTAACGATAAAGCGATTAAAGCGTCAAATTCTCTCGATTGCAATTTTTTTTCTCTTTTTTTTCTTCTTTTCTTTTCTTTTCTTTTTTTTTTCTTCTTTTTTTCTCTTTCTTCACGTATGCGCGCGAGTATATCGATCATAATCTTTTACTTTTGTTTCCTTTGTTCTCGCGTGTTATCCCTTTTTTTTTTGTTTTGTTTTATTTTGTTCCTTAATCTTAATAATCGTCATCGTTATTTTGTTTATTTGTTTGTTTGTTTGTTCTGTATA